GTGTTATGTGGACGATAAGGTGTCGAAGGTGGCCTGGTTGAACCGCTCGAACATCATCTTCGCGGGTGAGGATAAGTGGTCTCTGGACCCGCGGGTGGAGCTGGTGACTCAGGGTCAGCTGGAGTACAGTCTGCGGATACAGAAGGTGGATGTGTTCGACGAGGGTCCGTATACCTGCTCCATCCAGACCAAACAGCAGCCCAAGACGTCACAGGTCTATCTCATCGTTCAAGGTGAGCGCCGTGTGATTGACAGGCCGTCAGACCAATGACAGCTCGTCATCTGTTAATGCTCCTGCAGAAACCTCCCACGCTCTCCATCAGCCGCTCGCCTTCAGATCACACATGTGATGATTAGTTGGATGCACGGGTGGGCGATTTGGCAAAAACATATCACGATTTTTTTCAGGCAGAATCACGATCCATAATCTTCTCACGATTCTTTTTCACGTTGGTTTTTTAGACTCCTTTGAGAGTTACTGAGCAGCACAGCCAATAATCTCACTATCTAAAACATACAGAGCTACAAGAGAACAAAACATAAATTAATGACAGACTATTCAGGTCAAAGCACAGGTGGGTCATATCACCAAAATATTATTTCACTTTATTTTATTTCATTATTTTATCTTTGTTATTAAATAAATGCAATGTACGAGCGATACAGATAAAATAACCTGTAAAAATGTTCAGCTACTGCAGCATTGAAGTATGAAATTGAATAATCAAATGTAAAGATGAAACACTGCATAATCTTGACTCAGTCTTTTGTTGTTTGATTGACATTAGAAGCACAGACGGCAGCAGGTTTATTAGGCTGCTGTCACTTTAAGACTGAATGCACAGATCCAGTATAGTGATGCACACACATCTGATAATCTCGCAACTGTTTACATTCACTCCACGTTAATGATTAAACGGTTCAACAACATTATTGTGATTATTGTCATTTTACAATTTTTTACGTTTCATCAGCATTATTGCACTCTGCCATAAACCCAAATCAAGAGAACATCAACTCGCATGGTTTGCTCACAGGTTTATCTCGAACGACTGGCTGTATGACACTAGTATTTTAGCAGAATATCTCAATAGAGATGTCTGCTGGTATTTCCAGCTCATCAGCGTGTTTTCCGTAATGTAGAGAGATCATGTGCAAATGGTTGGCAGGTTGAGATTATTAAGAAAACACTGGGCAGAAAATGTATTGATTTAAAAGAAAAGCTCTGATTTAAACTCGTAACATCTGGCAACCGCAACCATGTAAGCTTCTGGAGGCTCATTACCGATGCGAGATAATGCAAATGCCAAATTAAAATGAAACATATTTAGGATTGATGAATATCACAGATGATTATGCTTAATAAATCGAGAAGCAGAAATCGTGATCATCGTGATCAATCGCGATAATTAAAATACGGTTTAGCGTGCAGCTCTAGTTCAATTTGAAGCACAATAAGGCACGAAAAACGGTCAGAACAGTGTGTGAGCAAAATCAATAAAAGTTTAAACTTGGCGGTTTAGCGTGATACTAATGATCTCTGTGATGGCAGAGACATTTTAATAATTCATGATCTAATATAGTCATATCATATGCTGCTGAACACTAGATGGCGCGCGTGTTGATTTAGCACGAGTGTAACCGCACTGATTTCAGCTGTTTCTCAGTCCAGCGAGTCGCTGTGTTTCTGTCGTCAGTAAGGCTGTCAAAAAATATTGAATTTCAAATATTCGTCGAATTTAAAATAAAAATCCACATTCGAATGCAAAAACGTTGCATGAGTATTAGGTGTGTGTTAAGGAGGCACACTTTGTATTAAACTATGCATACATACTGTACATGATGCTGTTTTGTTTATAGTTGTTTAAGCAACTTAATTAATTATAATTGGTTTATAACATTATTTTAAACATTATGCACTTTTTTCACTTTTAACTTTCATGTTATCTTATGCTTTGAATAAACGTGCATTAGTAATATTTTGCTCGATGCGCCCTCTTGTGGCCTCAGGAGAGAAGACAAAAGCTTTTCTTCACCCTAACTGAAATTATGCATTTTTAATTAGAATATAATTCGAATTTTGATAATATTTAAGTACAAAGCTCTAATGTAGTTTTTCAGCCATTTTGACAGCCCTAGTCGTCAGTGCAGCGTTTCTCAGCGTGTGTGTGTGTGTGTGTTTAGCGCCGCATGTTTCTCGTGTGGATGCTCTCGTCTCTCGTACTCTCCTGCACCGAGCTGCTAATTACAGCGAGGGAGAGGGAGGATCCGTAACTGTGCGCTTGTTATTTAATCCAGACCTGTTAACATGTCGCCGTTTGTTTGGCTCTCCTTAATTACCCAGCGGTCATTTCACACTCGTTCCTCTGTCTCTGCTGATGAGAAGGTGTTTGGACAGAAATACTGTCACCTGCTGTCAGACGAGTCGTTTCAGAGTGTTTTGCTGCATTTCTCATAACACATGCATGAGATTCTGGAACTTCTGCTCAGATGTGACATGCTCGCGCTGAGTGCTGGTGTGACGATCTCACGCGTTCACGCTCTAGTGCTAGTGAAGCACATTGGTGCATGAGTCCACACTGCGGTGATCAACAGGCCGTTCACAGATGAAGGTTTACTGTGTTCATGCGTTCTGAAGGGTTTTTGGCGAAGCGCAGGCGAGATTTATGCCCAGCGCCTCACGGGAGGAGAAAAACACCCCTTCTTGTCTTCTATGCAGGAACATGTTCATTAGTCTTTTGTATTGTATGGTGCGTTTTCGTTTTTGCAAAATCATAAATCTTTATACAATTAGAGAAGATCCACTTGGCTGTGCAAGTTTCCCTCAAGATTAATACGAGCAGCTCTGCTGCGCAGCACAAAATAAAAGACGCCTCCTGACAAAATAAATTGCAGGCAAATGTCGTTCATCTTCAGAATCGATCAAACTCTGCAGGTTTATTGTTCTGGTGTGCAGTTCAGACAGAAGGAAGCGTTGGCTCTGTTGGGCTGCAGACTGAAGAGGCTCTGGAGCTGGTTTTGATGTGAATGCGGTGTGATGATGTTCATATGAAACGAGTAAAAGTGAAATATTGATGGAGCGAGAGCAGCGGTTCAGTATAAACTCACTGTAGCTTCATTATTATTATGATGTCTGTGTGTCTGTATGTTTGAGTTGTTCTGGTCGGAAATGATGAGGGAAGAATGTAGAATCGGCAGCGGCGAAATATGAATATTACTGTTTAGTTCAAAATATTCACCAATATGTGCTTGCAGAAGAAGTATCCCTAGTCTATGAGTGAACGTAAGAACATAAACTCACGGAGGATTGAGACGTCTTTAATACGTCACTGGATGACTGGACGTCACTCACTGTCACATTTGTCTGTTTCCATGGTAACAGCACTTTCTCTGATTGGTGGATCTCTCTTCAGGATTATGGGTAGTGTTGTTATGAACTGATTTTAATATGTGAACTAGCTACTAGGACTAGCATTGCTTTGTTGGTTCAGTATTGTTGGTGAATGTTGTCATGTGAGCGTGAGTGACTGCAATCCTGTAGTGTGTGTGTGTGTGTGTGTGTGTGTGTGTGACAGAGAAAGAGAGAGAGAGAGTGTGTGTGTTTTATAATGCATTAGAGTGACTCTTGCAGTCATTACCGGCTTCAGCACAAGAAAAACAGTAACATGTAATTATCTTCATTTTCTTCCCTGTGATCAGAGACTTCAGATAGTCACCCACTTCAGTGTGTGTGTGTGTGTGTGTGTG